CTCCAAACTCCTTTTGTCTCATATACTCACGCATAATGCCAAGAAATGAAGGAAGATGCTCGGATAAAATGTCAACATGTGCACGGCATTGGACACTCCGCACAATGCCAATAAAATGGGCACGGATTCTAGAGCAAAAGGACAAGGAGGTGCGCACGGATTCTCACGGAAATGTTGGGAGGCATCTTGACCGAATCTCTAGCAAATGCATGCACGGAGCGCACGACTTGCATGGCTGAGTGACGCACGGCTCGCACACGGATCTCTTGGACAAGTTGCACTAACATGAACACACCCACGACATATGAACATGAATACGCACGGCATACACACATGCGCACGGCAATGGCATGGCTCGGAATAAAAATCCGAACATGAAGCTAATCTCGTGATTAATTTAAATTAATCACTTAATTATGTTTAATTATCCAATTAAACATAATGCTAAATTACCAAAATTATTCCGAACGTAAACGGTACGTCGAAAATAGTTCCGGTAATTTCTACTGAAATAACTGAAAATAATTAATCCCGAAAAATAATATCGGAACTAAAATATTATTATTACTGATAAAAGTCGGGATATTACATATCTGGTTTTCTAATCAGTTCTCTCAAATTCAATATCCTGCACCAGGTATCCAGAACAGCCACAGTGACATAGAAATCTGGTCTTAGCGACTGAATACCATCTTTCATTAAAATCAAATCACCATTCTGGAAAATTGTCTCAAACCTGAAAAAACATAAATAAAAAAGAACAATAAATTATAAATTGTAAATAATAACTGAAACTAAATGACAAAAAAAATAAATTTCTTAAATATGAAAATTTACGCTGTGTCTTCATTATCCAATATCCAATCATAAACTTCTTTGTCCCTTGAACTTGCTTTTGAAATGTTCAAATGTTTCAGTTCAAATTTCTCCTTCTCTTTTTCTTTCCTTTTCTTTTGAGCTTTCTGCTCTTCCTCCACCTTCTCTTTCTGTTGGCTCTGTTTCTCCTCTTTCTCCTTCATTTCTTTCTCCTTCTGCTCCCTCTCTTTCTACTCTCTCTCTCTCTCTCTCTCTCCTCTCTTTCTTTCTTCTCCATCTCCTTCTTCTCTTTCTCATCTCTTTCTTTCGTCTCCTTCTCTTTTTTTTTTCCTTCTCTTTCTCTTCTTTCTCCTTCTGCTCTCTCTCCTTCTGCTCCCTCACCTTCTTCTCTTTCTCCTCCTTCTCCTCATTCACTCTCTCTTCCCTCTCCTTCAGCTCTTTCTCCTCCCTCTCTTTCAGCTCTTTCTTCTCTTTCTCCTTCTTCTCTCTCTCCTTCTGCTCCCTCACTTTCTTCTCGTTCTCCTCTCTTTCTTTCTTCTCCTTCTCTTTCTCCTCTTTCTCCTTCTGCTCTCTCTCTTCTCTCTCTTTCTGCTCCCACTCCTTCTTCTCTTTCTCCTCCTTCTCATTCTTCTGTCTCTCTTTCCTCTCTTTCTTCTCTCTCTCTCTTCCCTCTCTTTCAGCTCTTTCTCCTTCTTCTCTCTCTCTCTTCCCTCTCTTTCTCAACTTTCTCCTTATTCTCTTTATGTTCTCTCTCCCCCTGCTCCCTCTCTTTCTTCTGCTTCTCTTTCTCCTCC